ACATCATTGAATAAAAATTTGCTTTTCTGCGTTTCATTTTTTTTCTTGTTAAGAACCATCATATTTTCCATTTCCATTAATTTTTTTTTTTAAGTTTCGCATGGCTGATGCCAACATGCTTTGTATTAGTGCGAATTCGTCCAATCCATGCACAAACCACCCACCCTTTCACCCCATAACACCAGCAGCAGACTTGATGATGCTACAGCTAGTTGCCTTGACTGTCGTTTACGTGCTTTTGCTTCAAATATTGAATGTGTTTGGTTGGCTGGATGGATGGTCTGTTGGGATCCTTGTGTTGTGTGGTGTTGGTCGTATATTACGTTATACAAACTTCGACCAAACAACACAACCCTCCTTCACCACCACCATTACACCTATTTACAAACAAGACCAAGAACAACAACAACACCAAAAACAAAAGCATAATATTCATGGCGGTGTGTTACCGATTTTGGATTTTTATCATCATTTCAATGTGGGGGCCAGCAGTAATTCTGTATATTTCCATTTGCCGTCGTTTGCTTCATTGTATTCCTACTACATCTTATCCTTTCTCGTTGTTGTATCTTCGGATAAAAACTCAAAGAAAAAAACATACAAATTCAATGAAATTATGCACTTTTTGTTCTTTTCTCTCTTTTCTTTTTTGCAGCTATGTTTTGCATATTTTACTTTTGTGACTTTATCAAAAATCCTCATGCATTGTAGGATATAAAGATATTAGACTATAAGGAGGATACGTTGCATAAAATAAAATTATACCAATCAAAATTCTATTTACGATGGAATTGTAAATGTTTACAGTGATCACAAAATTGTAATAACACGATTAGAAGATACATAAAGATTTGTGTAATTAATTGTAATTCATAATTTTTAAAGATGCAGGTTGTTTCGGGTAGGAAGTTTTGAACATTATTGGTATTTTTTCTATGCTTAAACATCATTCGACAGTACCGTATGAATGCTATGTTTCGGAGACCATCTCTTATCCATAGAGGCCGAAGGCAAACATGAGAAGTTGTAGCACAACTATAATCGGGAAGTTCAACGAATTGATGAAACAATACGTAACAGAGGAATTAAATAAAAATAAATAAATATGTCCAGCATATTGACTAGTAGTCCTATTCCATGTCGATTAGATGGTAAAAGCTTTTGTGGAGGTTGTGATTGTAAAGTTCCCAAAATAAGGAAATTATACCAGTCGAAGATTGTGTTTTTATTAGGTTGGGGAAAAATAAATCCATTATGAAAATTTCGATAAAATCAGAGAAATGATCGAAGTTGACCGGCATGTTAGCAGTCATAACATCGCCCAGGAGCTAAAAGTCGACTATTTTACACAAAGCTAGATTCAAAAAGAAGCTCGATGTTCGGGTGCCATACCAATTAACAGAAAAAAAATAGGATGGATCGAATTTCCATCTGCGAAGCCTTAGGCCAAACGGAATGCGATAGACCCATTTCTTAAACGAATGGTAACTGGAGATGAGAAATATGGATCACATACGATAACCCTGTGCGATAACCCCTGATCGTTGTCAAAGAGCGGTGAAGCACGTCAAACGTGGTCAAACCAGGACTAACGGTCACGAAGGTTCTGCTATGCATTTGGTGGGACTGGAAGGTGATTATTTATTATGTGTTGCTTCCATATGACCAAACGCTAAATTCTGATCTCTACTGTCAAAAACTGGACAGTTTGAAGATAGCAATTGACCAGAAACGGCCAGAATTAGCCATCAGGAGAGGTGTCGAGGAAGCGAGGCCACACACACCTACAGTCACTCGCCCGAAACTTCGGGAGCTTGGTTGGGAAGTTTCAATGCATCCGCCATACAGTCCGGACTTGGCACCTAGCGATTATCATATTTTTCTTGCATTGCAAACTTTCTTTAATGATAAAAAATTGGTGTCTAGAGAGGATTGTGAAAATCGACTACTAGAGTTTTTTTTTTGCAAATATAGAGCAGGACATTATGACAACAAATCATACAACAAAACGGTGCATATTTGGCTCAAATCGGACATTCCGAAGAATGTTAAAAAGTTCTATAGTTCATATAAAAACAATGGATTTCTTTCCCCCAACCTAATATTTCGTTTGTTTTAGGGAGTTTTAGTGAGACCTCTCCATAACATCTTTAGCACTGTAAGGACTTGGCAATTAAACTTTGAGATTTATTTCAGTGAAGAATGTTAGAATTGAAGGTCGATTTGTATTACTACAAACTATCCCATCCTCATTTTCACATAGAAGCAAAAGGGAACTCCACTATCATCCCATAAAGAGGTTAGAAATTTACGACGTAAATTCGGCAGCCGTATCTAGGCTCAATTTGCATTGTCAGTTGTACACAAAACACTTTGTGATATCATGCTTAAGTCATTTCGAAAAAAGTAACTTGTCAGAAAATTAGTTTACTGTGATGTTTCTCTGCCCTAATCAGTGTAAAATTCTATGTTAATAAACCCAACTTCAGAGGGCAATTTATCGGCTATGTCTTAGGCTTACCCTTCACCGACATTTGTTATTCGGATGTTTTGCCACATTGCAGCAAAATTGTGGTAATTCTTTTCGGACTGGACCACCATCGTCTCCGTTAATAGACTATCCGACTTAATATGATTTCAGCGAGTTTTTCAATCAGTGCTTCGTCGTACATGGCCTGAAGATCCAAGAGTGTGGGCACTAATCTTGAAGTTTAGAAGCTAGTATGAGTGCATAAAAGGAAAAAGTGGTTAGACCACCCGAAGTAATGCAATATTGTGTCTGAAACAATTCAATTGTGTAGAACGGCTAACGGGACCCCCCATTCTCGGTGTCAACAATTATTTGGTTTAATTCGAATCTAATCTAATTCTAGAATGTCCCTCCAAAAATTCAATTGAAAATATCAAGAACTTTTGAAGATATAGCCGAGTTATTGTGTCAGCATCAAGTGACGGCAAGAGTGATTCTCAAACTTTAAACGCATTTTTCTCGAAGTGGTGTTTTACGAATGGCGGGCATGATAACTCAAAAACTAATAATCCTATCGATTCCAAATTTTGACACGTTTCTCTGGGAATGTATAGCTCTCGTATGAACTAGGATAAATCCAATCGGTGAAGAACTTCCTTATTTTTTAATTTAGTTTGTGGTCAAAAATAGGCGAAGTTCCAAAAAAAATTTTCAAAGGTCCGCCATTTTGATAATTTTTGAGCAAAGCCATTGAAAAATAACGACTTTTCTTTAATCACCAAAAAGAACAACAAACAATTTTGCAAATTATTTTTCTTCTTTTTTTAATCTTCAATTATATATGTGTAAAGTTACAAACCATAAATCGAGAATGGGGGAGGTCCCCTTTATTCATTCTCAAATTCGCGTGAGAATGATAGTACGTCTAACAATGTCGATGTCCGGGAATAACTGGTACAGATGATCATGGTTCACCGTCAACGCAGATCGGCCCATATATCTTTCGGAGAATTTTTCTCTCAAACACTCCAAGAGCTGCCTCATCTGCTTCAGCGTCTCGTAGAGTGTGAGTTTGGTCTGGCGGGAGGTCGTCTTGCATTTTAGTTGCTTACTCAGACCATAGTAGCATCTGTTGGCCAAAACTATCCTCCGAATTTCAAAACTGATTACATTAGTTTTATTTATGGCTGTACCAAGGTATATAAAATCGTTGACTACCACGAAGTTGTAGTTCTCAAGTTCCACAGTTGGTACGAGCCTACTGGACCTCTTGCGCGTTGATACCATCAGCTTCTGACCTCATCTGGGCTAGGTGGTATACACTGGGGTATCCTCTTGATCCGCTACTATTTGATACCAGAAGTTTTTCAAAATGCTCCTTCCAGATCCTCAGCACGCTGTCTGTATCTGTCACAAAGTTTCTTTCTTCACCTCTACAGGAGGATGTGCCTGCACCAAAGCCTTCGGTTTGGTTTTTTACTCGTTGGTAACACTTTCGGACTTCATTCTGACTCCTGTACATCTCAATTTGCTCACGCTCATGTTTTTCTTGTTCTTTCTTCTTTTTTCTGAAAATATGTTTCTCCTCTCTCTCCTTTTCTCCCAATAATTCTCCATCACATTACGTGTTGCTACCTTGCAGATTACCATATACGCTGCGTTTTTCACGTCAGTAGGATTACGACACTCCTGATCGTTCCATGGATTTCTTGTTGGTGGTTTTTGGTACCCAAGTGTTGCTTTTGCCGCAGTTTGTAGGGAGTGGGCAATTATTTACCATTGTGCTTCTAGACTATTATCGGGACAAGAAGTGCTCTCGTCAAGCAGGTTGTATTTTGAATACAGTACCGTTAAATTTCGAAAATTGTAAACGTGTGTTTTATTGGCCTCAAATATTTTAAAATATGATGGCAATATTTTTTTTAACACCAGTGTATATCGGTCTTCATAAATATATTCCTCGAATTTAACACCTTTTTTCCCTTGTTTTATTTATCAGAAAAATTGCTGCCCTAGGCCGAAGAGATAGTCAATGAACCATAACATCGTTTAATTCTACCAGTGTATTTTGAACGTTACAGATTATTTTTCATAATCTTGCTCATTCAATAAATCAAGCAAGCCTAACCTCCTATATATCATCGACAGTATCAAGTTGCGTTTTTTTCGTTTCCATTTGTTTCCTTCTTAGGAATATCATTTGACTATATATTTTTCATAGTGTATGATTTACATAAGATAGTGGAGTAAAACCTTGTTCAGGTTCCTCTCAAGATAGGCCTAAATGTTTTGCTGTTTAGATGATTGTAATATAAACTTTCAGAAAGATCATAGTGACGATATATTTTTCATATTCTTTTATTATGTTAAAAAATAAGATTTTAAAATCTGCAAAGTATAACCTTTTATAAATTTTACAACAAAATGTATTTAAATTTCCTATATTAATAAAATTTAAAAAACATATTATATTCTGATAAAAATCATAATTGAAAATACATAATTATGAAATTTCTTCTAAATTGTGTAGTGGCAACTGCTGAAGACTCACCTCTGGCAACGAAGCTGAAGAAAACATGGCTTAGAACACCAGTAGGAGAAGAACAGGCTGCACAAGCTGTGCTAGATCCTTCGATAGGTATCAAACAAATACTTATTAATTATTCTATATTTTTAAATTATTATTTTCTAAATTGGTTTTTCTTTTCAATAGTAGTAGCTCTAATAGAAATTGGTCTATAATTAAAAAAATTTAAAAAAATGTTTTTTAGTTAAAATTGGTAGTTTTAAATTCATATTTTTTTAAACACATATATAAGTGTGTTTCTGTGTGTGTAGTATAGTAAATTCAGTATTTTAATATTTGTTATAAAAAATTGTTTAATATATATTTTAGTTAATTCAAAATTTTCAATTTTATCATTATTTTAGCTGCCCTTGATGAAGAACGTACAAGCCCGGTCAGTACAGCTGGTGATAAAGCTGGTGTCGGTGGCGGCAATAATGCATCTTCCGAAAGAAGTGAACCCCTAACGGCTAAACAACGCTATCAAATCAAACATCGTGAATTATTTCTATCACGACAAGTTGAGTCATTACCCGCCACACAAATACGAGGCAAATGTTCGGTGACATTGCTAAATGAAACGGAATCTCTGCAAAGTTATATAAATAAAGACGTGAGTCGTAAATTTCCAATGTTCAAAAACAAAGTTAGAGCTTCACCTTTTTTACATAGCAAGAAAAGGATCAATATATTTTCTTTAACACAAGCATATTTAGAATTTAATATTAACTTTGATTTTTAAACCAGACAATTTTTTTAAATTTATGTATTGCAGGATACGTTTTTCTATTGCTTAGTATTTGATCCAACACAAAAAACTCTATTGGCCGATAAGGGTGAAATACGTGTGGGTAGCCGTTATCAAAGTGAAATTCCTGCTAAACTAAAAGATACCCTAACGGATGAGCGCAAATTAGAAGATTTAGAGACATTGGTTTGGACACCGCATCACAGTCTAAATGATCGTAAAATCGATCAGTTTTTAGTTGTATCGCGTTCCATAGGCACATTTGCACGAGCTTTAGACTGTAGTAGTTCAGTTAAACAGCCCTCTTTACATATGTCAGCTGCAGCAGCAAGTCGTGACATAACATTGGTTAGTTGATTTTTTTATTTTTGATTTGTGTAACATTTCTCAATATTTATATTATGTGGTCGTCTTTATAGTTTCATGCTATGGACACTTTGCACAAACACAATTATTCCATAGAAGAGGCAATGTGTTCCTTAGTTCCTTCCACTGGTCCAGTTTTATGCCGAGACGAAATTGAAGATTGGAGTGCTTCGGAGGCCAATCTCTTTGAGGAGGCCCTAGATAAATATGGCAAAGATTTTAATGATATACGACAAGATTTCGTAAGTTATTATAATCTAAAAAAAATGAAAAACGAAATAGTATCCAATTTTGTTGTATAATTTTTATAGCTGCCCTGGAAAACCCTAAAACAAATTATAGAATATTATTACATGTGGAAAACCACGGATCGTTATGTGCAACAAAAACGTGTCAAGGCTGTTGAGGCGGAATTAAAACTTAAACAAGTTTATATACCGCAATATAATTCAAATAAAACTGGCACCAAGGGCAGTGGTGGTAACATTTATAATGGCACAACAAATGGTGGGGCCGATGTCTCAAATATGGGAAAGCCCTGTGAATCATGTACCGCCCTCAAGTCATCACAAGTAATAAAATGTCCATACGAATCTTGAAAAAATATCTTATATTTTAATGTTTTTTTGCTTTCAGTGGTATCCCTGGACAAGTGGCCATGTGCTGGGTCGTTTGTGTCAAAGCTGTTGGGACTATTGGAAAAAATATGGTGGTCTTAAGTGTAAAAATGATGGCACTGAAGATAAGAAGAAATTAGCCGATCAGGAGGATGACAAAGTCAGTGACTTATCTAATCGTCAACTGCACAAGTGAGTAATGGACATGTGAAGTTATATCATTTTTAGAACATAAATTTAATTCCACTCCGTTCGTGTCTGTTGTAGATGTTCAATTGTCAGTTGTGGCAAAGAATTTAAACTTAAGACCCATTTAGCACGACATTATGCCCAGGCGCATGGTATTGCAATTAGCTCGAGTTCGCCTCGGCCCATAATGAAGACACGCACGGCATTCTATTTACACACAAACCCAATGACGCGATTGGCGCGTATTATATGCCGGCACATAATAAAACCCAAAAGAGCGGCCAGGCAGACATCGTATGCCATCAACACGCAACTGGTGAAACAAGAATGTATGTATACAATATAAAATGTAATAATTATGCGGTGCAAAATAATTCTATTTGTTTTTTTTTTTTTTTTATTTTCAGTTAATAATCGCATGAGCGGTAAATCTGAGGCCGAAATCAAAAAAATCCTTCTGCTAAAGAAAAAAGAACGCGGCAGTGTAACAAAAATTGCCAATCGTTTGGGTTCACCCGGTTCGGGTCCACACGAATGGTTGATATTAACACCTAAAGATAAAATGCCAAAACCGGATATAGTCTTTTTTCCTAAACCGCCAAAAGCACCAGATGGCAGCCTCATGTATGATCGCATACCGAATAAAATTATAGATTTAGATAAGGATATAACCATAATACCAGCACCAGCGCCATCGGCATCGGCAATGCGTAAAAGAGCACACGAGGAAACCCAACTTAATGGTACAGAAGGTAAATTCAATTACATTTGCAGTATTTAGCAAAATAATTCTATTAAATATTATTATAAATTTTAGTTACAATTGTACCGGCTGGCCCACCTACCAAAAGACCTAACAAGGATCCAATGCCCTCACATTGTCCGAGCCCCGAACAATTTGCTGCTATGATGGCTGCTTCAGGGCAACCATTATCAAGGCATCATGTATGTTGCTTACAAATTCTTAATATACTTTCTAAAACAACAATTTTTTTAAATTTTTTAATATATATTTATTTTAATTTATAGCTAAATGGTAAACCCAAAATTGCTCAAATGGCTCGTACCGGAAATGGACGAAAGCAGGTTATTAGTTGGATGGATGCACCAGACGATGTTTACTTTAGAGCAACGGAAGCAAGCAAGTAAGTAAATATAAATAAATCATTATTTGTTTCTGGGTAATTGAAATATCATCATATCCAAATTACATTGGTTTGTCTTCTGGGGACTGGGCTTTGGATACGATCACTGTTGCAGACGAAGTTGAGATTGATATTAAAAAAAAACTATTTAATTAAAAAATTTCCTCTAGTCTCTTGTGTTTCAATATATGAAGAGTAGACACTTTACAAAATTTAAAAAAACATATAGACAAATTTCCTAATTTTATTATATACTTTAATAAATTATTTATGCACAGTCACTAATTAAAATGTTTTAATATCTTTCTCCTTTTTAGGAAAGCACGAAAAATTCTATCACCTACCGATCTTAGAAGAGCAGCTCGAAAGCCTTGGCGTAATATTCCTATTGCAAAGCCAATTGTAACGAGCAGACCCATTGAATCACAGGTTGTGATATTAGACTGACCGTCATCAGCGGCATCCTTAACATCAACCACATCAACATCATCATCAATGATTGAACAGCAGCAACAACAACAGCAACAGCATATAACACAATATCGCCCACAACTTCCAACTACCAAACAATTACCATCATCCCAACCATTTCGTTATACAATGGATGCTCTTTTGAATTAGGCGAAAAAGGTGATGAAGAACACACACACAGAGATACGGACGCCCAAACATTATAACAGAATTAGGTTTAGGACAGATAGACTGGGTACCAGCTGATGGAAGTTGAATGTGTTTGTTACTCGACGATGTCAATACCAATGAATTTTAGAAATTTTGTTTGGTTATTTACACAAAAAAAAGTAATGCAACTTCTTCTTGTACATATAAAACAATTTAATAATGATGGCAACTTAACACAAATTATAGTTGTTCGCTTAAAAGATGATGAGCTATACATACAAACAAACACACACGCATATATAAATATATTTTATAGAATATAGATTATAAAGAAAAAACAAAACAAAAAAACTTTTTATGAACAACGACAAGTTTAATTTCTACGCATGAATTATATTACTCATACCATACACACACACAGAGACACATAACACATATAAGCAGAAAGATATAAATCTACTTCTAATCCCTCTTCCATCTTTTCACGCAACATCTTTTTTTATAAAAAAAATAGAAACAAAATAAAAACAAATAAAAATAGTTCTAATGTCCATAATAATAATAAAAAAAGAATCAGTTCAGACAAAAACAAATCCATAAACATAAATCCCACAAATGTATATTTACCTAATTATTCAGGTAATAAAATATATACCAGGGGGTCTAAAATATTAAATTATATATTTTTTATTTCTAAAAGAAAATTTTTGTTTAATTACAAAGCGAAGACGAAAATGAAAAATTATAATTGTTGTTATATTATTTTGTAAACGTATTTTCTTTTATTTTACTTTAGGGTTTAGGATTTTACACATAAAAATAAAAATAATTTTCAATTTGATGATGATTTATTAGTAATGTACCAATCAATAAATAATGATATTGCCGCCTCTACGATACGATTTGTGTTCAGAAACCCATTTTTTACTTTCTGTCTTTATTCTTCTTACATTCTTAGTACATATATATTTATTTTCTAAAACAATAGTAAAATTGGAATAAGGACACAATAGATTTTGTAACACAATATTAGTGTTTTATTATTATAATTTTTTTATTTGTTTTATTTTTCAAAAATGTCAATTAACTAGACAACAACAAATGTGCACAGACAGACCAATCAATATGCAAAATGTATCCAACAACACAAAAACAAAACAGTCCAAATATATCCTATCTTTATATATATATACTTTTTATTTTCAACTTTAATATGTGTAAGTCGTCATAATTATTCCGTTTTTTAGATGTAATTCAAAGAACTTTTAAATGCAATTCTATTTAAATAGAAATTTGAGATAATTTCAAATTGAAAATAACATTTGAAAAAAAATCAATACAAAAATAATAAAACAAAAATTCTTCTTAAAAAATGTTTCATGTGTGTGTTTCTTTACCAATTCTATTTAAATAAAATTTTTTGGGAAAAACGTTTTGAGTATTTGAAAAATTAAAGGTTTTGAAAATTTATTTTGTCCAAATTCGCACACAGAAAGTTAACAAAAACAAAAATAAATAATTGACTGAGGTAAAACGGGTGAGTAATTATCTCCATTTCGGCACTTTCTCTCTCTGCCCTCTCCCTTTCGAATCTCAAAATATCATGTCGAATATTATTTGAATTATATCTGTGAAATGGAATTTTATTTGTAACGACAAATAATAGATAGATGGGACAAGTATAGGAAAACATGTTTGTGCCTTAACTGGCGGATTAAGAAATTTCGATACACATACCTTTTGCAGAGATAGATGCTAATATCAATTTCAATTTCCAGTGTGGTCTCCATATAAATTATTATGCCCGAATCCTGACACAGAAAATTATTAAAATGTATGAGTAATGTACACGTTCATCTTGAATCTCTACTCCTCCCCGCCTTTCCTCTTCCGAATCTCAAAATAGTGAAACGAATGTTCTTTGAATTATATCTGTGAAATGGATCTGAATTATATTTTTAACACAAATAATAGATGGAAAGGAAAATGATCGGCAACGGCATCTGTGGAGGTGGTCGGACACATTGAGAAGAATATGGAAAATTCCGAAGTTATCATTGAACCATATATTTAACCTGTGAATTGGGATTATTTCTTCCTTTAAGAAGAGAATGGGTGGTACCCACTATTTTAAATAATAGATGAATGCGGCTATACAAGTATTACGTAAGCATGATGAACCATCGAGTTCTTTGAGTGCCGACAACTTCAGGCTCACTTTCCTATTACTGTCGGCTTGTTGGAGATTTCGAAACGAGTCGCTAATTCTCAATTTACCTTCCTTAATGTAATGAAGTATAAACGTTTGTTTGGAAATCGTTTTTACCAAACACAAACATTAGTAGAAAAAGAGTGTCTTCTATCAAGCTCCATTAGAATACCAAACAATAAGAACAAATGTGGGAACAGGGTCACATAAAACTCCAACGTTAAAGTATGTCCTTTTTCTTAAAAAATATATATTTTTAAATGGAATTTTCTAAAATTGTTTTTATTAATATTCTAAAAAAAACTACAATTAATTTGCTAATTTATATATTTAAAAAATCAGACTCTCCATACCAAAATTTCTTGTATTTATTTATTTATTTTTTTTTAATTATAGTTTGTCTTTTCAATGTCTTCCTATAGAGTTTATATTGACATTTTGGGTGGTTCTCTTTTCCAAAACTACAATAAAAGTAAACACACAACTTATTTGTAATTAATACCTTAAATACGTATTTTTAGGATAATGTCCTAAATTTATTTAGTATAAACTAAAATAAATGAATGGGAAAAAACAACAAAACAATGTCTTTATATAATGTACAGAAATATACAAATAAGCGCATAATCCTTCCTTTACTTCCTCATCACAATTCATTTGTTAAGCAAATTTTTATTTTTTATTTCTTTTTTTCTATTATATAAATTTAAAAAATAATAAAAAAATATTTATATAAATAACAGTAAATATTTATATATTAAATAGTTGTAACATTTAACTTAATAATAATATCTAGAATAAAAAAACAAGTTTACATTCATAATTATTACAGAACAAAACCAACCACAAAAAAGAATAACAAGCTAAAACAATGTATTTTGCAATCTTAATAAAATTTCGTTTACATTTTAAAGTAATTTCAAAACAGCAACAACTGTAAGTAACAAAAATTAATTCACTTTTTGATTGGCATTACCCCTGAGATAAAATAACGCTAAAAGTGAATGTAACAAGAATTTCATTTCAAAAATAACCGAAAGAAAAACATCTAAAATAAGAAGAATTTAAACAAATAATAATTAGCATAACATTACCCTCTTAAAATAAAACATAATTTTAAATGTAATATATTTGTCTGTGTTTATTTTATTAAGAATATTTATATATATATATATATATATATATATGGAAGGTAGGGCAGCTTGAGGTGAATAACAAGAAAGCAACTATGCGCGTGTGGCTTCTTCTGCCAAAAATAACATAAATATACGAAAGAAGTGTTTGTGTTTATTTGACATTTTTTCAACACAAAACTAAAAACGCGAAAAATGAATGAAAGGTTATGATTTCTTCCCAAAATCCAGTAGGGAATCCCATCAAATGTTTGTTCATCCATAATACAAGGTAGGGCAGCTTGAGGTGAATAACAAAAAAACAACTATGCTCATGTGGCTTCTTCTTCCAAAAATAAAATAAATATATGCAACAAGTGTTTGTGTTTAGTTGACATTTTGTCAACACAAAACTAAAAACGCGAAAAATGAATGAAAGGTTATGATTTCTTCCCAAAATCCAGTAGGGAATACCATCAAATGTTAGTTTCATCCATAACAAAGTAATTACTTCCAGACGAACATGTTAAAAACATAATTTTCATTTCAATTAAATTTGAATATATTTCAAATTATTTTGAATTTATTTGACATAGTATTCAAAACATTACACACACATACCCAAAATATGTATTTTGATTTGATGGAACAAGCCACCTTGAGAAAAAATTGTAATCAGTTGGTAGCTGTGCCCTACCTTGTAATAATTATACCATGCTACCAAGCATTTTAGTTGATTTTAAAAAAATTTGTTTTTAATAAATTACATATTGTCCAATGGCTAGGATACGAATATCTAACACTAGCTTGCCCAATGAAAGTGAAACTATGAAAATATTGTACTATTGAAGGACATATTTAGGACTTTACGTGTGATTATATTTAACATCAAGACTAAGGAAAGTGGTAGGAACTGATACACGGCTGCCATATTACCAGATACTTCAATCGGATACAAGTAACTCATAGCGTTAATCTTGAATAGTAAATATAACTAATATGTAGAGCGTAAAAATAAGAGGGGTTTGAGGTTAGGTTTGATAACTCTGCTATGGCTTCGTTATATATCCGAAAGAAATGTTCAGAGTCTGATTCTGGATGTCTTCTGCTACGAAGTTTTGGACATTTAGAGGGTCTTCGCATATATGGCAACTTCTTAAATTTTCCTCTTGAAGGTGTACCTTATTACATCTTAGGATCAATTTCTTGGGCCACCTTGACAGAAGCATGACGATTGGTATTTATTTATAAGCAGTCTAAAGTTTTATTAATAACAAAATAAGAAGTTAAGGTTTACGTCAGAACATTTTAAAATTTTATTAAAACATAAACATAATTGAATTAAATTAACTTTAGTTCTATTAATTAAATGAAAATCAAAAAAAAGTATCCGCTATATTACTGTTATACAAATACGTATGTCACAATTATCCCTTATTTACCTATTTGAGTATGTACTTTTTTAATAATCTAATAAATGAAACATTGTGTAAATAAATTTGTAAAATTGTTCTATTATAAGAAATTGTTATGCGTCAAAAAAATGTTAACTAAAAATTTTTAAAATTCTATTTAAAAAATACTCGACGGTAATATTTCAATTCTTCTATGCTATCCTTAATGTCGTCTAAACTGCGATGGGATAATTTCTTGGCGGGAGCATTTTCCAAAATGGTTGGATTCCAACGACGCGCCAATTCTTTAATGGTTGAAACATCAATGATCCGATAATGCATATAATCATCGACTAAGGGCATTTCTTTACGTAGAAATAGTCTGTAGAATATAATAATTAGTTTTATTCACAATAATAAAGAAACAAAAAAAAATACATACCTATCCATGTAAACAGAATTGCCAGCCAATGGACATTTTCCTTTGGGTATTTGCTCCTTTAGGAAATTCAATATTAAATGTTCGCCCTGTTCCGTTGTTATCTGTGACTTTAAACATTTCTCCACCAGACCAGATTCATTGTGATGTTTTATACACCAATCATTCATTGTATCAAGTACCTTCTTGGGTTGGTTAATAGCGAAACATGGTCCCTCCGATATAACATTTAAATCTTTATCGGTAATTAGACACGAAACTTCCAAAATTCGATCAGAAAGTACATCTAAACCAGTCATTTCTAAATCCATCCAAACAATATTTGCCGCCATAATTTGTGGTGCTTTATCGGTGATGGTATGGATATTTTGCACTTTCAATTTATTGCACAAATACTGAGGTATATATTTGTTACTTAAAAATAACCTATTTAATTTAGAAATCATTTATATTAACTTAATTATTTAACCTAAGAATTGTGTTGAAATGTTGTGATAGGCTACTAAGAGAAAACATATGGTGGTAAAACAATAATTACGTTTTGACGCGCAATTTTCGTATTTGTAAACACATGCTACAGGCGGATGTCCACAATCCAAGCGTTTGGCGGTTTGTGACATTAGGTCTGTCTAATTTTGTTTTCAACGTTATAACCAAGGCATATTAATGACGTCATCCAGAAAGGGAAAATCAGATGTTATTTCTCAAGTTAAATGTGAAAATGTGGACGTTGTAAAGGCCTATAAATAATATCGTAAAGATGCTTCTGAAGTTCGTGTATTTTGCATTTAAATTTAATTAATTTAATTTATTTATAATTTCCAACTCAGGTGCTTGAACAACAAGTAAAAAAATAAATTCTTCAGCGATGGAGCACATTTCTCACTCGGTGGGTATGTTAATAAACAACATTGTCGTCTGATTGAACCTTACTTCTTCGTGGTCATACGATAACCGGCTTTTTTGCTTGTGGTTTCAACAAGACGGTGCTACATACCACAAGAGATTTCTTGTTTTGGCGATAACAACAGGTCTCCAAGATCATGCGATTCAACATCATTTAAGAGTTAAACAGAATGTTCGCGTTGGGCGTTTTTTGTTATCGCGTTAACGCACGCAAAAATGCTTAGCCCTTAACTTGGCGAATGTTAAAACTAACATAATCTGTATAAACACGATATTTTGCTAAGAACCTTAAAGAGCTAAGCAGAATGCTCGCGTTGAGCCATCCGTTGCGTAATGTTTTATCGAAAATACAACAACCACAAGGAAACGATAACACAAAAGCTCGAAGTTTATGTGCGCAGCGCTTCGGAGTTAAATATGTTTTAACTTTTTGCGTGCGTTAACGCGATAATAAAAAACACTCAACGCGAACATTCTGCTTAGCCCTTCAACGCGAGCATTCCGCTTAGCCCTAAATTGATTGGCGAATCTACGGACCAATAATGAGGTCGTCCATAAGGCCAAATGATTTCGCCCGAGCTGTCAAAATGATTTCAATTTTGACGTAATCGTTTGAAAACGTAATTGACGATAATATTCGCTTCTTACACGATCTATTATTGGACCAAGGGTTAATTTTATTATAGTTCCACTTCTTGTAATTGGGTTGCGGTTTTATCGACAAAACCTCACTATCGACCATGATGCAATAATAAAACATGTATTTTTGTCTCGATCATCAGTCAATTTTTTAATATAAAATATAGAAAATTCTCATGGTTGGCAACTTTGTACATCGAATTCAAATAGAAGTTACACACTTTGACAGTTAATCGAGACATAGAAGCGCTGAATGGGACTACCTATTCATTGTGCCATGCTATCGACCAAAAAGAAAGTTATTGGCATGTGAACATAATATTAAGGGCTAAGCAGAATGCTCGCGTTGAGCCAGTGGTTGTTGTATTTTTGATAACACATAACGCGACGAATGAAACTTCAAACCGCAGCGCATATCAACTTTAAAGGGCTAAGCAGAATGCTCGCGTTGAGACATCCGTTGCGTTATGTGTCATCGAAAATACAACAACCACAAGGAAACGACAACACAAACGCATATCGTTTCCTTGTGGTTATTGTATTTTCGATAACATATAAAGCGAAGGATGGCTCAACGCGAGCATTCTGCTTAGCCCTTAACGAAAATACAACAGTCATAAGGAAACGATATGCTTTTGCCTTATCGTTTTTTTGTGGTTGTTGTATTTTGGATAACATATAACGGGACGGACGATTCCAAGCTTTTTTTTACTCTCAACTCTTTTATCGATTACTGACTATCCAACAATCATGAATATTTTTGTGGTTGCCTGATGAATGACAAACATGAGATGCCACACTATCAAACAAGAAAATTTTGGGCAAGAGTGTCATTCAAAAGTGCCAGTGTGTATACCGCTTTAAAAGTCGACTTTTCTATCATTCGATTTTTTACTTTAAGTGGTGTACACACTAGCACTTATTAAGCGGTGTGCACACTAGCACTTTTGAGTGACAGCTTTTTTATCGATTACTGACTGTCCAACAACCATGAATATTTTTATGGTTGCCTGATGAATGACAAACAGGAAAGGCCACACTATCAAACAAGCGAAATTTGGATAATAGTACGTTTACATTGTACCGGATGTAGTTGATCCATTGGATTTTAATTGTCAATTTCATTGCATATTTGTGAGATAAATCCTCATAAAGTAAAAAAAGTTCCAATTTACATGACGTTCAAGATGTCATTCAAAAGTGCTAGTGTGTACACCGCTTTAGACTTTTCTATACAAAAAGTCGATTTACTTACCCCTAATCATAATTTGCCTAAACCTCATTCGTAAACAACACGGTTTCCATTTGGGCAAGAGTGCCATTCAAAAATGATAGTGTGTACACCGCATTAGTCTCTATCCCACCTCATTCGTAAACTTTCGGTTATACCATTTTGAGTTCATCTTTATCGGCCATTTTGTCTTCTCCTCCCATTCGTTAGCAGGTGGAACGTTTTTCAATTTTTTCAGTCGTCGTTTTTATTTTAGCTCCGTTCCAAAACCTAAAAGAATCTACTAATTTTACAAGTTTTGCAACTTTTTACTCGAAAACCGTTCCTGAACCCATAAAACTGGTAAAGCATTGAATCAAATTTAAGAGAGCACAAAAAAAAAAATGGCTTTCTCTTTGTAAACTTTTTGTTATGTTGATTTTGAAGTATTGCCATCTAATTTTGGCATATTTACTAGATTTGCGTTCCCGAACTTTTCAAATTATTTTGTACTCTGAGACTTGAAATGTTTCCCTTTTACTAGCTTTACTATTAAACAAGTGAAAAAGCGTTAAGTTCGGCCGGGCCGAACTTTGGATACCCTCCACCACAGGTATACTGACAGGTATTTGAAATGAAAAAGTGGACCGATATTTATAATTTTAAATAGAGATATTTGGTACCCAATATGAACCCACTGTACCAAATTTCAGCGAATTCGGTTGAAAATCGCGCTTAAGAACCTCAAAATACCGAAAATTTGGGGTGCCCTTATATGGGGGCTACCAGAAAAAGTGGGCCGATATTTATAATTTTTAGTAGACATATTTGGTACGCAATATATCGGATATCCCCCGAAAAAATTGACCTATATTTAAATTTTTTTGTGGAGAGATTTGGTAAGAACTCAAAATACTAAATTACAGCCAATTCGGTGAAAAATACGATAAAAACCCAAAAAATACTGAAAAATAAGAGGTACCGTTATATGGGGGCTACAAGAAAAAGTGGACCTATATTTATAATTTTTTGTGGATACATTTACTACAAATTCGCTTGAAAACGCGCTCAAGAACCCAAAATACCGAAAATTACAGCCACTTTATATGAGAGTTATGCCTAAACGTGGAACGATAAACTTGACCTGCCTGCAGACAAAAGACAACCCTAAAAAATACCCTAAAATTAGATAGGTGACCGTTATATTACCCTGATCAAGAATATATATAGTGAGGTACAAACGGAATGACAAAATTAATATACCCTCCATACTATGGTGGAGGGTATAAAAAGTACTGGAACAGACCATTTGTTGGCGAAGGTTTGCGTACGACGTCGCTTGAGTCTTGGCAGAACGACGATTAACAAGCGAATTTTATGAAGGCTGGAGTCTTGTTCTTTTGAATCTCTCTCTTATTATTTTTTTTCGTTTTTCCATATATAGTTCCTTTGCTCCATATAGTTCCTTTGATCCATATAGTACCTTTGCTCCATATAATTCCTTTAGTCCATACAATTTCTTTGCTCCATATAGTTCCGACTCCTAGATAGTTCTTTTGAATCTCTCTCTCTCTTTTATTATTTTTTTCGTTTTTCCATATATAGTTCCTTTGCTCCATATAGTTCCTTTGCTCTTTATAGTTCCTATGCTCCAAATAGTTCCTTTGCTCTTTATAGTTCCTATGCTCCAAATAGTTCCTTTGCTCCATACAGTTCCTTTGCTTCAAATAGTTCAAAAAAGGAACTGGATCAGAGAAAGGAATTATATTAATTAAAGAACTGGAACTAGTTCCGTTCGTTCCTTTCACGGAATAGTTCCAATGAACTAGTTCGTTCCGGAACTACCCAACTCTAGTGAACGCAGAACTGACAATTATATATTTTTTGCTTGCTCGCAAACAAAAGTAAATTATTTTTTCTGTGAATCTTAAAGTTGTAATTAAAAAAATAATTAAAACCGCATCTTTATCGCTGAACATTTGTGCTACATTGCAATAATTTATATTTAATTTTTTACTTTTGTTTTGTTTACACAGCACAGCACAATTAAATATGTCGTCGGAAAAGCCCACAACATCAAAGGAGTCGTTTGATGTATTCTATGAAGAAGTAAGTCCATGTATCGTAGACAACAAATAACGTAAAGGTAATAAATAAGGGCGCCATGTATAAATGTGCGAAAATTGTAATAGTGAATATCAACCATAATTCCATATTTAGATAATAGTGAAAAGCAATCTTCTCAGGAAGTCATAGCGATTCGCTTACAATTAAGTTTAGTTTTTTCATTTATCTGCAATAATTATAATAATTATATCATGACGCCCTAATCTTACCAATGATCAACCAAAAAAGAGACAGTCTACAACTATAATCTAAAACAATGTGTACTTTGTTGCGCCAAAACAAAAACCATTCTTAAGTTTCTTCATATTCTATTTAAATATTCTGTAAATTTTGCTAAATATATTTTGCCATATTATTCTCACAGGTTAAAGAAATTGAAAAACGTGATTCCGTTTTAACATCTTCTCAACAAATTGATCGTTTACTTCGTCCAGGTTCGACATACTTCAATCTCAACCCCTTCGAAGTGCTGCAAATTGAACCGGAGGTACCAATTGATCAGATTAAGAAGCGTTACCGTCAACTATCAATACTCGTGCATCCGGACAAGAATCAAGATGACAAAGAGAGGGCACAAAAGGCATTCGAAATCATCAATCGGGCATGGAAAATACTAGAGAATGAAGTTACCCGCAAAAAATGTTTGGATGTCTATGAGGAGGCTAAGGAACGAACCGATCATATGGTATAAAACATTTGCGATTTTCCAAGAATTTTTAAAAATATTTAATGTATTGCATTACAGATTGCTGAGAAACGCAAAAAAATCAAAAAAGAAAATCGCTTCGAGACAATACCAGAAGATGATCCCGCCAAATACAAACATGCCATTTACGTTATGGTTATGAAATTATTTGCCGATATGGAGCGTAGGCGACAACAATTGGATCAACGTGATCAGGAAGAACGCAAACGTAAGCGTGAAGCCGAAATCGAAGAGGAAGAACGGATAAAAGCCGATCGAGAATGGCAGAAAAATTTCGAAGAGTCCCGCCAGAGTCGTGTAAATAGTTGGCATGATTTTCAAGCGGGTAAATCGAAAAAAGCTAAAAAACAAAAGCGTATGCAGGGTCTGATGGTACCACCGAAATTTAAGCCCGAGTCACGATAAGTAGTAGTACAACAAAACCAACAATTCGTTCTACTCTCTGTTATATAGATTTTATACAAAAAATCGCAAACAAAGGATCCCATTTTTTGGATGGACAGTTTATGCAATTCAATTATAATTTCATTGATGCCGCATACATACACACACATAAACATTTATTCTAAAATACATTTTTAAGTAATGACGTACACATAATATATACATACATCTAAAAACATATATATTTAAATATATACACAAACGTAATATGTGGAAATATGTCGATTATTCGTTTCGTGTAATAATGTCCTGTGAACATTATATTTGCATTCGACATAAGAACGCATCTTCATTTTAAATGAAATAAGAAATAAAAAATAAAAAAAATATTAAATTTACTATAGAATTTGTTATGATTTCTATTATTTTTGGAAAAAAATGGAATTGATATTCCATTTGTCCAAAGATACATACGGCATTGATCCACGGAGACGCCTATTGGATGATCTGGGGAGACAGAGCGGTATAAAAAGTGCGGAATATTTAAAAACTTCAAGAAGGAATCTACTGTGGCAGTTTAAGTCCATAATGAAATATGGACCACTTATAGGCGCCCGATACAAAGTATGTCGACAAAAGTCTCCAGCCTCCTGATCTCAATTTTACCAAAACCACTCTACTTTTTCTTGTTGTTGTAGATAGTCCTCGTGAAAAAGGACTAGTTTTTGATAGACTGGTTGATCTAGAATCTATTTTTTATGTAAATTTTACGTGATACCGGAAACTTATTTTCGTCTGCCCACAATTTATTATTATGTTAGACATTTCAAATATGAATTTTGCGATAATCGTATAGAAAATTCTTTATTTTTTCATTTATATAAAAAAAGTTTCACATTTAAATAAATATATGAGAACCAAAAAAATTAAGATTGGACTTAAAACGTTGTATATAAACTTGCTGTAAAGACTATATCACGTTTAATTGCATTCGATGCTTCCTCCATTTTGCTTTGCAATGCTGGATTACCAATACGTATTGCGGCTGTTTTAACATCACGAATTGTCTCATCCAATTGTTGAATACAACGGACAATGATACCCTCTTGAACTTCAGTTAATTTCATGATTTCGGCAAATGGCTAAAAGCAAAGAAATAAATTAACAAGTCTTCTTTAAATATAAAAATAATCGGCATACCTTATTGCGGGCCCATTCATAGACAACTTCTAACAGACCGAAATTCAAACGTTCCTCCGTTTGAACAACAGCATGATGTCTCAATTCGACAGCTAATATATTATCATTGATTTCTTCAAACTCTTTGACACACTGTGCAAAAAATTAAATTTTTAAAAATGGAACAAAATGTAAATATATAGATTCGTATAAAATCTCTGTAGAGAAATTTTTAAATATAGAAAATTAAATATCTGGTTCTTTTATACCTTTTTAAGCTTTTCCGGTATAACTGGTTCACCTTGGATTTTGGCTTGAAATACCAAACCCGATAGTAAGGCAGCAATTTCAGCCGGTTCTAAATTATTGAACATATTGCAAAGAATTAGCTCGGTTATTAACAACTCATTTTGACCCATTTCACAGGCCACCTTTCCTTTCAATGTTACTGCAAAACAAAATTAAAAAAATAAAAACAATACAAAATTTTAAAATGCATATTAACACAACAAACTATGTCGCAACATACCTTCATCTAACTCATCAATATATTTCAATGCTCTCAACACCTCCAGTTTATTACAATAATCCGGATATAGCGACAGATTTTTAGTTGAATTTTTAAATTTCAATTCTTCAATACGATGTTCCAGCATTTTACGTTCATAAACAATGACAAATTCCTGTTCAAATCCGGCGATATTTGTGTGTGGCAACACATCCTGCAATTGTTTTGCCAAATGTTCTAAATAACGAATTTGGGCCATTTCGGTATCAGCATTAACATTGATCTCTTTCGACATATTAATGAATTTAATTGAATCGCTGTTTTGTATATAACTTTCATTTAATTGATGTAGTTCGGAAACGAGTTTAACAACTGAAGCTCCTGGTGGAGAATCTCGGAAACGTTCAATTTGTCTTTGCTCCCAATTGCGTATGATTACATCGGCATCAATTTTCAAATTGGTTTTAGTTATTTCCACAAAATCAGCGGCATTTAAGTCCAATATGGTATGGCCACCAATGCCCTCGGGGTGATAGTGTTTAAACTGGGGTGTCAAGGCAATCATTTTATAATAGATTTCTCCTCTATAGAAATCATCCTATATGAAATAAAATAGTAATTTAGTTAGCTTCTATTTTTTTGTATCTAAATTAAATATTTACCTTTTCATTATTCTTAAATTGATGATCAAGCACCAAAACTCTATAAACTGTATCCTTACCCTGGACAGCCTTAATGGATAATAGAACACCAAGTTTATTATAATGTTTGCCTTTGCATACCAATACCACACGTCCCGTTTTGAGTTCTTTAATAATTTTAGGTTGAGCCAATAAAAATCTCTGTAAACTAGATATTTAATACCGCAACATAAAAATTGATTTTTATATTTTACCATTAAACGTTGCTTTTCACTGATGTATTCCGTGGCCAAATCATAAAATTTACACAATGGCTGTAAATGTTCACCCAATTCGGGCATTTGTGAAAATTTACTTTGGGCAACTTCCAATTGTTTTTGCTGGGCCGGCAATTGTAATTTTTGATTGAACTCTTTAAATGTGAACTTCATAATATCCTCCACTTTAATACTTTCAATACGCAGGCAAGTCAGGATTACCGCATACCGTAGAATAAACTGCGACTCCAACTTTTCGGGCTTGCCCAAAATCATGGCACGCAAATCTTGAGCCGGTGGAACATTAGCCTTACACATTAGGATGACACAGCCATTTTTATCGTGTCCTCTTCTGCCTGCCCTCCCTGCCATTTGTATGTATTCACCCGGTTTGAGATTTCTCACTTCCATGCCATCGAATTTACGATGTGAATCGAATACAACAGTCCGGGCCGGCATATTAACACCCATGGCAAATGTCTCAGTTGCAAAAAGTAACTTGACAAGACCAGCTTGGAATAACATTTCAACAATCTCCTTAAGGATGGGCAAAATACCGCTGTGATGTACACCAATGCCACGGCCCAGAGAATCTTTCATTTGCAAAACCTGGGGCAATTCACGATCTGGTGGCTTCAATTTGGACAAACATTGATGGAAGAATATTTCAACGGAGCCCTTCTCACGGGCTGTATTCAAGTCTATGGAGTTTAAGGCCTACAAGAAAAATACATTTAATAATATCATACAAAAAATAAACCTGGGTCTTCTAACCCACCTGAGCATTCATATCACAACGATTACGCGACAATGTAAATGCCACAACCGGCATGAGATCGTTGCGCTTTAAAAAGTCTATCAATCCAATCCATGTATTTTGATCTTGCTTAGGTGTTGTGGTCTGATGTTTGGGTCCTGTACCACCGGACATTTGTTTCGATTTACTTTGTGCGGCCTTTTTCTTTTCCACAGCCTTTTCATAGTTTTCTTGCAAAAAGCGACCCTGATCGTCGACCAGTAAAAATCGATCGTCTTTGGTCTTACCGCCCGAACCCGTGTAAAGATAATGCATCAATGGAACTGGCCTTTTCAGCGTACTAATAACATAGACTTTACGTTTCTTCGTGCTACCCACCCAATCGGCCAGTTCCATGGTGTTCGGCACAGTGGCAGACAACATAATAATGTTAACATGATCCGGCAAGAGTATAATAACTTCTTCCCATACATGTCCACGTTCGGGATTGTTTATATAGTGGACCTCATCGAAAATGACATATTCCAAATCACGAGTAATGTCACTGCCACAATACAACATTGATCGTAAAATCTCCGTGGTCATAATTAAACAGGTAGCCGTTGGATCGATTTGCAGATCACCGGTTATGAGACCCACATCTTTGAATGTCTTCTTGAAGTCACGATATTTTTGATTAGACAGCGCCTTAATGGGTGAAGTATAAATGGTTCGTGTCAAATCCCGTTGTGACAATGCAATGGCATACTCTGCTACTACCGTCTTACCAGCCGATGTGTGGGCAGCCACAAAAACATATTGACGTTCTTCCAATTTGAGTATGGCTTGTTTTTGAAATGTATCCAACTCGAAGGGAAATGCCATGGCGGGGCAGGGTATCTTCTCCTTAAAGTCTGTTATCGGTTGGGAAATGTCCAACATTTCCGCCCATTCTGTTTGCAATGTGGTATCCTTGGTGGCGGATATTTCCAAAACCGGTTTCAACTCAGTAGCCATAATATCATCATCCACATCTTTAAATTCCGATCGCATATTTGTGTCACTCCTTTCCTCTTCTGATTTGTTTTCCTCTTGGGTAATCTTTAACCATTCCTGAACATCTAAATCATCTTCCAGATTTCTCAGCAGATTCACATTCTCCATTTCCTTGGCTTTGTATGATTGCAAAATATTATTCTTGAATTGTTCATGTTTGGAAAAATCATAGCCAGCTTTAAAGCCCGGTGGTGTGGTCAGTAGCTCTCCTTCAATTTCGAAACCTTCTATTTCGAGAGATTTTATCTCCTTGGGTGGCTCATCAAAACCACCTGGCCAAAAGGGATAATTCATTGCCGAACCACGGGTAACTTCTTCCAATTTACCTGGTTCACGTCTCATGGACAGAGAATTTTTCGCATTGGCACCTACATCTTCCAGATCAACTTCAACAAATGACAAAATCTTTCCGGTAATGAAGTCCCGTTTCGGTACAAGTTTTGTACATGCCGGGCCCCGGGGCAAATGCAACAGTTTCTCTTCATTATATTTGCGTGGAATTATATCTGGTAACGGATCGTGGATAGATAACTCCGGTGCCAAAATATAATTTTTTAATTTGTTATTATTTTCCAAGGCAGTGGTCATCTTTTCACAAATAACCAATTTGCCAAATTTGACAAAAAAGTGGTTTGTTGTTGGCTTTTTGCAAATTATAATTGTTTTTGTTGTGACCATATGAACCGATCAAATTGAAAAACGTCCCATATGATTTGAATAGGGGAGGAAAGGAAGGATGACAGATAATAATCAATCAAAAATGAAGAGGGAGATATTTGGTCAGTTCCAGTACTTTTTTAATAGTAAATCTAGTGAAAGGGAAACATTTCCAAATTGCTCTCAGAGTACAAAATAATTGGAAAAGTTCGGGACCGCAAATCTAGTAAATATGCCAAAATTAGATGGCAATACTTCAAAATCAAAATAACACCCAATCAGAAGTAGGCATTCCTGTTTACCATTTTTACTCGACCAAATTTCTCGAGTAAAAAGTTTTCAAAGAGAACGCCATTTTGTTTTGTGCTCTCTAAAATTTAATTCAATGTTTTACCAGTTTTGTGGGTTGAGGAACGGTTTTCGAGTAAAAAGTAGCAAAACATGTAAAATGAGTAGATTCTTTTAGGTTCTGGAACGGAACTATTTACTTTTAAATATTGGGGTTTCTAGCATGGTACAATTATAAAAGGTAACAGCAAATCCCAGCTGATTTGATTCCAACGTAATACTAGTGTCAATATGAATTTGACAAAATACGTTTTTAAAAATCACCCAAGAGGAAAATTGGGAACGCATACAATTTGAAATTGTACTTTTTTAAATATGCTCCGCTATTCAATTTACTCAATCTGCCTGCTGGGAAAGTTTGTGGAAGCAAATCTTTCTTCATGGAATAACTCGTAATTCGCTGCATTTTCATATGTGTTATACATATAAGTGGCAATGGGTCAATTGTAGGAAAGATGTGGAAGCGATAAAAATATAAATTTGATAGATTTTCATTCATGTTTTTCAATTTTTATTTTGAGGATTCAAAAATATTTCATTTTCAAAATAAAAATAATTTGCTGATAATTTGTTTGTTTTTTTACATTTTTCTGTCAAATGAGTTGACACTAGTAGAACTTACAACAACAAATTTCCATGTGGTTGTTGTATCGTTTGTTGTACAACAACACTTGCTGTTACCTTCTATTATTATACCATGGGTTTCTAGTAAGAGGTTTTGCCCGGTCAGCATTTGTATGATGGCTTTGTGAGAAATCATTTAAATGAGTTTTCTAAAGGGCACGTACACTATAGAGCATGCATGACTGCATTTTAAGTAGTATTAGTAATTTTATGTCACTTTGAGAATGAATGTGTGAGAATTTCATGAAGTACGAAAATAAAAATAATTTTGATTTTGAAAATGAAACCCTTTCAATCCGATGAACGTTGTTAATTTTGAAGTCGATTATGCATGTCCGTCTGTCTGTCCATGTTAAATTGTAAACAAAGTACAGGTCGCATTTTTGATTCGAATTGGATGAAATTTTGCACAGCTCATTTATTTGGCCCAAGGACGAACCCTTTTGGAATTGGGAAACATCGGTTCAGATTTAAATGTAGCTTCCATATATATTTTCGTCCAAAGTCCCTATATATCTTTCGATTTGCACGAAATTTGGCATAGAGTAATGAATTAGGTCTAGAATGCTGTGTGTTAAGTTTCCTGAAAATCGGTCCATATTTAGATATAGCTCCCATATATATTTTCGTCCGATTTAATGTAAATGGTGTACCAAAGCCCCTATATATTTCGATTTGTACGAAATTTGGCATAGCGTAATGAATTAGGTCTAGAACAATGTATGTTAAGTTTCGTGACAATCAGTCCAGATTTAGATATATAGCTCCCATATATATTTTCGTTCGATTTAATGTAAATGGAGTACCAAAGTCCCTATATATCTTTCGATTTGCAAGAAATTTGGCTCAGCGTACTGAATCAGGTCTAGAATGATGTGTGTTAAGTTTCCTGAAAATCGGTCGATTTGCACGAAACTTGGTACAGTGTATAAGAATAGAATGATGTGTGTTAAGTTTCGTGAAAATCGGTTCAGATTTAGATATAGATTGTGCACTAAAGGCGTAAAGTTGGTCCGATTGTCACACAATTTTGTACAATGAATTGTGGTTAATATAAGTTAATCTCTGCAAGTCTCATTGAAATCGGTACAGATTTTGATATAGCTTCTGCATATATATTTTCGTACGATTTTACTCAAAATTGACACAGATTTTGCAAAATGTACTGAAGTTAGCATATCCTAGAAGTTGCGGTATAAGTGCTTCACCAAGGTGGGTCCAATCGGTACAAAATTTTGCACTACGTACTGAAGTTACTATAACATAACGTGTGGCAAGTTTAGTTGAAATCGGTTAAGATTTAGATATAGCTCCTATATGTAGATTCGTCAGTTTAGGCCGTTTGCTACAAAATTTTGCACAATTTACTGCATTTAGTATAGCGTACCATGTGCTATATTTTGTAAGAATCGGTTCAGATGTTGATATAGCTCCCATATATAGTTTCGTCCGATTGACACATAATTTTGCAAAACGTACTGAAGTTAACCTGTGACAACTTTCGATGAAATCAGTTTAGATTTATATATATATATATATACTTTATATTTTCCTTACTGGCTTCATACATGGTAATTATACTTTCATGTGCATTTCTCATTTAACGGCCTTTTGCATTCTACGTTACGTCTTACACTAATTGCTATTTATATGGCGTGGCAACTCTATTCACCGCAATGACATTTCCCTATGTTGTCAAATCAATTGTCAGGCACTACTGCCCCATAACAGCTTCGCATAGACATACATATTTTCTTTAGATTTTTAATAAATCTACTTAAATTTAAGTTTTCTGGACGGTGTTCATTGAAAAATAAACATTTTTGACAATGGCCTTGCAACTAGTGCTCCGTAACGCCACCAAATTCAATGGTATGTAGTGGGAAAGTTCCACAAACTTCGTGAAGTAATAAAAAAATATAATTTACATTATATAACTTAGAGGAAGGAATGTTTTCCGATAATTGGCTTCTAATGTATTTATTTCGTTGCTTCTTTACAAAACAACAACAGGTGCTGCTTTGGTAAAATCTGTGCGTATGACCCCACTCAAGACTTATGCCACCGTTGTTGCTGCCCAACGTAGTGCTTTGGTCAAACCATTGAATTTGGTTAAGAATGTTGCTGCCGTAAGTATAGATAGTGCGCTTTGTTATGTGGTTTGGCTGGTCATAACATTACAAGAATTTCTTTTAGCCTGTTACTCGTAATGTTGCTGTAAGTGCTCCTCGCATGGCTGCTGCTGGTGGTAGTCACACTGCCTTGTGGACAATTGAACGTGTTGTCTCATTGGCTTTGTTGGGTGTTGTACCACTTGCTTTTGTTGTACCCTCACAAACCATGGATGCCTTGTTAGCTGTTTCCTTGGTGCTCCACTCCCATTGGTGTGTATGGAATACTCTATAAATCTTTTTGAAACAAATCTTCATAATATTTCATTTATTTTTTGTCTCATTTTAGGGGCATTGAAGCCTTGGTAACCGATTACATGCGTCCCTCTGTTGTCGGTAATGTCTTACCTAAGGTAGCCCATGGCTCTTTGTTGTTGTTGTCTATGGCAACATTGGGCGGTTTGTTCTATTTGATCTACAATGATATTGGTATTGCCAAGTCTGTCAAGAAATTGTGGGCTGTTAAAGGTGTTTAATTTTATTTGCCAAATATTGTAGTTATTTAGAAATGTTACGCTTTACATACATGTGAATTACTTAATTCTATGGGATATTCAAATTTGTAAGAAACAATAAACACAAAAAATAAATTATTCTACGAACAAAACAATAAATATTGAATTAATTATTATGTATCATGCAACGTGGACACATCACCAAACAGCATCCCATATACATATTTAATGAAATGCTGTTTAATGTGGCAGGTAGAAATAGTTCGTGTACGATGTCTAAGAAAAACACACTAACGCCATCTGTTGTAAATTGTCTAACATAACTAAAACTCTTAATACTAAAGAACTATTCATCTCAGTTAATTCCAATTGTACGATATTCTGAATGTTGTATGAAGAACTGGAAATCAAAACCTGAAAATATCAGTGATCATAAACAAGTGGCCGTTGGGCCGTTTTGGGACATCGCTTATGAGACCCACATCTTTGAATGACTTCTTAAAGTCTCAATATCAGAAAAATGGATGAAACGTCTCTGGTTGAAACATCTGGTCGATATGGCCAAACAGAAGGGAGTCTTTATATATGCGCTGAACTAAGTCTTTACAGACGAGCTGAAGGGAGTCTTTGTAGTCTAGCTGAAGAGGGTGTCTTCATAGACGAGCTGAAGAGAGAGAGAGAGACGTTATAGATGAGCTGAAGGGAGCCTTTGTAGTCTATCTGAAGAAGGTGTCTTTGTAGTCTAGCCCAAGAAGGTGTTCTTGTAGAAGAGGGTGATTTTATTGACAAGCGAAAAGGAGTTTTTATACTCCAGCCTTGGGCTAATGAGGGTATATACATTTTGATACGCAAAAATGTGCCTCATTGAAATATTGGTATTAGACCCTATGTTTCTTTGAATCAAATCCATTTTAGACAATTTGGAGTCGATTTACAAATGTCCGTCTGACTGGCCGGCTAGTGCGCACGATAACTCTCGAAGCGAGTACCAATTTCATCCAAACTTTGTACATCGTAATATTTCTATGAAACTTAAATCAAGTTCGATAATGGAGAATATCGGTCCACTCCTTCTGGTACCTCCCCTACAAAATGATCAATATTTCGCAGAAAATTAATTTTATAATTTCATACGAAAGCACGATTTGAAACAACCTTTGCACAGTATATTATCTTTACCAAACCTAGATCAAGTGTGAAAAAGGGACCCATTGGTCCAACCCTTCTGGTATCTACCCAGAAGTGGTTGTACATCACATAACTGGTACACCACCATGGCTTCACAGTAATATGCTTTAAGTACCATATTTATTAAGCGTAACGGTTCTATTCAAATTGGACTCGTTCTGTTTCTAAAGAATACATTTTTATACTTAAAATTTTCAAATAGTTTAAACAACTAAGTAGCATTGCGAAATTAAATTATTTTGGAAAACAAAACAAAACCTAATATAAATTTTAGACCTTGGCTATGTCCTGCATTCTGGTAAAAAATTATTTGAGGCATTTACGTGGTAATTATATGTATACGAAAACTCATTTTACCAAATGTCCTTCTATTTTATTTTTTTAAACATCCCTTCACAGCAATAACATCATTGAGCAGAAATGCTATTCAATGCAGAATGCAAAGACCCAATCAATGTTATTCAAAACCATTTCAATTTCTGGGAACCCCATACGTTTCAATACGTCATAGTGGTAATACCAGAATAACCATTAAACAATATGAATCAAGTCGTAAATATACTGGTCTATGGAAAGCCGAACGTTTCGTTGGCGTGGCACTAATTTTTGTGTTACCCATGGCGTTTTGTTTTGAATCGAAGGAATTGGAAATGGCCGTTGCCTTTATCACAACATTGCATACTTATTGGTAAATTTGTTTTCATATATTAAATACATGTCCATGTCCGATCACAGACTTTCTAATTTCTAGGGGTTGTGAATCTATGTGTAAGGATTATGTTCGTTCATCGGTTGTTGGAAAATTATTACCAATTGTTTGCAGAAGTCTTAATATAACTATATCATTGGCTACTCTGTTGGGTCTTTATCAAATAATTTATAAAGATTGTGGCATTGTTAATATGATAAAAAAGTTTTGGACCTTGGATAATGTAGATCAGCATTAGGTGAGGAAGTGAAGCATTTAAGTCTTGTTTTTGTGAAAAAATTGTATAAGTTTATTTACATAACAATTTCTGATTATATTCAATAGATAAATTGACATTTAAATGAGTGGAAATACACTGAACTTTTTTTTCTTTTTGTTACACATTACATTAACAATAAATAATAAAGCTATTTGCTCGATTTGATTGTTTTCACTATTCTCGTTCTTTTTTTAAGTAGCATCAGGTCATGACTTTTCCACATTCTTTTTGTAGAACAACCTTAGAGCATCCCATTGTTTGGTGTGCAACAATATGTGAGGTCGACAGTTACGCATATGTTCTACAGCTTTTTCAGGTGTCCAGCCATTTTTCTGAAAATACAAATGTAATGAGTTATTAATAAGAATATATGTGTAAATAAAACATGTTGCTAAGTAATTTAATATCGCTGATTCAACGTGAAAAGGAAATAAGTTTACTTTTTCTCAAAATTGAGATTTTGATATAGAAATTTGCAATAAGGAAAAATACATCGATTTATTAAAAATACAGTAAGGAAAGTAGTAAATTGGACGGAGCCGACTTTTTGATACCCTTTACCACTTTGGGTATATACAAAAGATGCTCATACGTACTCCTTTAGATAGAATAGCATGACATATTGGAGGACCATTGAAATGGAATCAGATAAAATTAACAACGTGACAGTAGGGTTCTCCATTTACATAAAATCGGGCGAAACTATATATGAGAGCTATATCTAAATCTGTACCGATTTTAACAAAATTTCGCATATATGAATCTAGACCTAATTCAGTATTCTGTGCAATCTCAATCGGACAAATATTGGGAGTTTGGTACACCATTTACAAAAAATCGGACGAAACTATATATGGGAGCTATATTCAAAAAAATTTGGGATACATCAATCTGCACCTAATTAAGTACTCTGTGCAAAATTTTGTTTCAATCGGACCAATATTGGCAGTATGGTGCTCCATTTACATAAAATCTGAACCGATTTCAACAAAACTTATCATATATCAATCTGGACCTAATTCTGTACTCTGTGCAAAATTTTGTCTCAGCCGGACCAATATTGAAAGTATTGTTATTCATTTACATAAAATCGTACGAAACTATATATGCGAGCTATATTTAATTCTGAACCGATTTCATATGGCATATTTCAATCTGGGCCTAATTGTGCTCTGTACAAAAATTTGTCCCAATCGGACCAATATTGTGAGTTTGATGCACCATTTACAAAAAATCGGACGAAACTATATATGGGAGCTATATCTAAATCTGAACCGTTTTTTTCAATTTCAATAGGGTTCGACCTTAGGCCAAATAAGTGACATGTGCCAAATTTCATCAAAATCGAATCATAAATGCCACCTGTACTTTGTTCACAAAAATGCATGGACGGACAGACTGACTGACATGCTTAAATCGACTCAGAAAGTGATTCTATGCATATTCTCAAAAACAACCATGTGTCTATCTCGTTTCTTTTTGCCTGTTACAAACATATGCACAAAGACATAATACCCTGTACCACAGTGTGGTGAAGTGTATAAAAATCTGCAATTATCTCATTTGTTGTAGTGATGCGTAAGGGCGCTAAGTCCAATTTATCACATGTCGCTGGTTGTTTTTTGTGTCCTCTGTAAAATTTTAAAATATGGACTTTACATGTTATGCCAGTAATATGTGACAATGGACATCATATGTAATGTTATAAATAAATAAATCACTGTTTAACAAAATTATCTCTCCTATACACAAGAAACCTACCTCAAGATATTTACTATAATTATTGTAAAAATAAACAATATTATTACCATTCATTGACCTTTGATATCGATAAAGTTTTTTTTTATATTATCAAAAGCTACATATAATTATTGTATGTAATTAGTTAATGTGAGAAAGGTGTGTTGTGTTCTTTAGTAATGGAACAAATCTTCGTTATCTTCCCCGTATGCCCTGTACACATTGTTTTCAACACAGCCAATGTAGCAAAAATGTGTTTGTACGCGAAGGTGAGAATACACTGTGTTTATTTTTATCTTCATTTGGATCTGCGTTCAGGTCTCTGGACCTTTTTCGCAAATGAATTTGCACTATTGTTGGTTCATGGAGCTTTTCATATAATTCGTGCCAAACGATGTAAGAACTTAGTGTTATTTATGATCGGAAAACACATCTGTTGTCCATTAAGATTTTAATATCTTTTTATCTTCAAGCACTCAATTACTGCTCGAAACTCCACCTGAAGGAGCGTTTTGTAGTCTGGTAGATGGAGTGATCTTTCAGTTGTCATTTATTCTATAAAAGTCTGAGGCAAGTCTTTTCTGCTAGACACGATTCAATTTCATGTGGGTATTGTAGAATGTTTTAGGTTTGTCTACATAATGAATTTGAACGAAAACCCTAAAAAAATCAATGTATTGTGAATATTAATTAAGCCCTAAAATCTATAAATAGTAATAGCTTCTTCGTTGATGTAAAACCCATGAATAGTTTCGTGAATTCCATGAACAATCACACGATCAGCCAAAGCCAAATTTAGACAATCGGCCATTCAAAACTAAGTCTGTATTCTGGCCTACAATTATTTAATTCTTAGCATCAAAATGGAAATTATCTGAATCTCTGTACAGTAGTCGATTTAGAAACAAAACACTTGTGGTTTTGTTTGTTTGTTTTTTTTTTTTCATATACAAAGTGTTAATTTTTATATACAAAAAATCATAATATTTAATTTATTATTACTCACCATCATTAAATAACAACCAACCAATGTTGCACTACGTGTTCGACCAGCCTTGCAGTGAACATAAACGGTGCCAATATTTTCCGGACTAGAAGTGGTGCTTAAATTCTTTATACGATTATCTTGAGGTAGAAATTTATTAATAAATTCAACACCCTTAAACAGTTTCTCTTGGCAAGGTGACTCAAAAATGTCTGTGGTGGCCAACTGTAAAAATTCTACTCCCAATAGCTGCCATTTGGGGGCATTATTTGAAAATACAGTTAATTCATAATCCTCGTTCATGGATACGACAGCCTTCATATTTTCCTTTTTGATTAACTATAAAAGACAAATTGTAAATTTAAGGTTTTATTCAATACACAATATCTTCGTTTACAAACAAAAACTTACATCATTTGCTTGAGAGCGAAATGGTAAAGCGCCCAAGATGACATTTTCATCGATACGATCATACCAATTACGTGCGGTGGCCTTTTCCATTAACACATTGTACAACAATGTGGGATAAAAGGAGACTCGGGCAAACATGGCAGCCTTTTATTGGGTTATAATAAAAATAATAATAATAGAGGTATATTTGTTTACACAAAATTAATGGAAATTCTTTTAAGAAAAATAAAAGTGATTTAGAAAACTTTCACTAGCAGCACCATGCAGCCGATTTAAACATTTGAAAATTGACAAGTTTCCAAAGCTAAGTCGTTTGGATGTTAACAGTTGAGATTGTTAATTGAAACTGGTTTGAAAAAGTTTATCATACCACGAATACCATCCATTCTCTAAGCCTATGGCGCTGGTGGTGAAAGCTTCGCCACAAACATTACTACTATGAAACAACACACTTGTTGGACATTTCAACACACTCAACCTACAGACAGACAGTCAGTCAGTAAGTTTGTAGTGTTTCATTCATTCATTGAACTGTTGTCCAACAAGATATGTATCGTCCGTCGTATCTTGGATACTTACACTCATTTCCATGCCTTTGTTTATATGCGTTTGCGTCACAAAGAACGATGCAGCTCCAACTAGAAAAGCACAAATAATTATAATGTACATTTTTGTCATGGAATGTTTTGTTGTTGTTGGATTGTTCTTGGTATAGAATTTAAATGAATTGTGGATTTACATAATCTTACAAATTCAAATGGAGTCTTATAAACTTCGACTTCTGATTAAAAAAAAAATGGGGAATGAGAATTTGTGTCAGCGAGGCACAACTCAACGACGAAACGCGTAAAATATCAAACAGCTGTTGTCGCATGTCATTGTGCATTGTGACATTTAAACACAATGGAAACGTTAGACGACCAAAAAGGGGTTTGGCGACATGTGGAGTGTATATTAAATAAAATAAAGTTGTCAATCCGCTTGAAACAAATTGAAATATTCAACGGTTCTGATTAAAATATAATTCTATACCAATTTATACCTGTCCCTATGTACCGTACTTCAAGAATCTACTATTTTTTTACTACGATAATGATTTTTTCTTTATGATATTGAAGAAAATAGTAAAATATCGTAGATTATTGCAGTACAGACCAATGTATGTATATTTTTACTACTCCTAGGATCTTTGGTATTGAAAATGGGATATATCGGTTGGTATGCCCCCATGTAATGGTACCGCCCAATATTCGGCATTTAGGGAGTTTGGGCACGTTTTTTTTATTTAATTGCCTATAACCTGGTATGTTGACTTTTTATTGTCACATCTTCCAACAAAAAATATGAATATAGTTCAACTTCTTATGATAGTCCCCATGTAACGGTATTCTTCCATTATTACAGGGTAGGGCACAGCTACCAACTGATTACAATTTTTTCTTCGTGCTTTCGTCCTTTATTACAATTTCCTATATCCGGAACTTAGTTCTACCATCAGCAAGTATGTTACTTGACTGACAGCCTTCTCATAGACGTGATTTTACATAATACGGAATTTATTTATGGACGTTTACTATTTATTATTAACCTTGTGATTGTTGTAATGAAGGTCATGAAAGGTTGAAGACTTTTTTAATATTATTTTTCTGGCTATATAAGCCATAGATTTTTTTAAATATTTATCTTTCTCTGACGCCCTTAAAAGGCGAAGATTTTTTAAATATTATTTCTGAGGACCTTACAAGGCAAAGGTTTTTCTATATATTTTTTTCTGAGGACGTTTCAAATCGAGTTTTCAGAGTATATGGCGCTGGTGTTTTTAATAATATTTGTGAGTTTTCAGAATCTATGGCGTAGATTTTTTAAATAATATTATTATAGACGCTTAAACATATTTTTTACAACTCCACGCCTTATTATACACCCTCATGGCAACCCTTTTAATTTGGAACTCATCTATTAATTTCAAATTGTTTGAAAAGTAAATTCCACCAAGTGTTATACATGTCGAATGGCATATTAAAAAAAAAATTCTGTAAATAAATATCTAATTTTTTTTGATTAATATTGTTCTTAAGATATAACTATAGATGTTACAACTTATGTTCTGTTCCCGTACTGCAAGAATCTACTATATTTTACTATTTTCTTCGATATCATAAAGGAAAATTCGTTATCGTAGTAAAAAGTAGTTAATTCTTGCAGTACGAGAACAGACCATTATATTTATAGATTATAGAGGCCGGGAACTTCAACATTTTTGCAGTACAGGAACAGACCACTAGTGTTTACACCGTTTATGACGGGGAACGATAACATTTTCCCCTTTAAATGTAATTTTTTTTACTACAATGGCGAATTTTCCTTTATGTTATAGGAAAAAAGGTAAACATTATTAGATTCTTGCAGTGCGGGAACAGGCCACATATACATTTTTGTCATGTCAAACAATTATACAATAAACAGGTCGTGTCAGAAGCAATCGTTATCGACAATTTTGGAGTAAAATCCCCCATACTGTCAAATGTTTTGTTTATGTTTTCACACAATTTAGTCAAAATCGAAAGCATTTTGACAGCTCGGATGAAATCATCTGGCCTTATCGGACGACCTTATTATTGGAACATGTGTCAAACGAAATATGTTTGTTGTAATCGATTGTTGATGCGGCGATTAATCGAAACTCGACTTAGGTATCCCTAGTTTTATTTTCACAGTTTTGTATGGTCCACGTCAAACTAAATCGAAAAATTCATTAAAAGTGCCGCATTTAACACAGATAAATAAATAATTTAACCAAAAATTAACGAAAACAAAATAAGATCGCCTGAAAATGGTTAGCTTAATTAACACAATCGATACCGGCCATGAAGATATGATTCACAATGCCGTTCTAGATTATTATGGAATGCATTTGGCAACATGTTCATCGGATGGTTCGGTGAAAATATTCGATGTTAAGAACCGTAATCAGGTTTTGGTTGCTGATCTAAAGGGTCATCAGGGTCCAGTGTGGCAAGTAGCATGGGCCCATCCAAAGTTTGGCAATATATTGGCTTCGTGTTCCTACGATCGTAAGGTGATAGTTTGGAAAGAAGGTGGTGCCAACGACTGGACAAAACTGTAAGTACATTTCAGCGGAAGGAATGAACAAAATGATGTCATTAATTTGTTTTTGTTTTAGTTATGAGTACAGCAACCATGATTCTTCTGTTAATTCTGTGGCATTTGCTCCCTCCGAATATGGCCTTATGTTGGCTTGCGGCAGTTCAGATGGTTCCATATCCATTTTGACATGCAACACAGAGTATGGCGTGTGGGATTGTAAAAAGATACCAAATGCCCATACAATTGGTTGCAATGCTGTTACATGGTGTCCCTCCACTGTACCAGAGCCCGCATTCGACCAAAAATCTTCCACACGCAGTGCCGGTATTAAGCGTTTGGCTAGTGGTGGTTGTGATAACTGTGTTAAAATCTGGCGGGAAGAGAGCGATCGTTGGGTAGAAGAAAGTCGTTTGGAAGCCCATTCCGATTGGGTACGTGATGTCGCCTGGGCACCCTCAATTGGTTTGCCACGTTCACAAATTGCCTCAGCATCCCAAGATCGTCACGTTATCATCTGGAATAGTACTGATTTTACAACATGGTCACCAACGATTTTACACACATTCGACGATGTTGTGTGGTCCGTCAGTTGGTCAATGACAGGAAATATTTTGGCCGTAACTGGTGGAGACAATAAAGTAACCCTCTGGAAGGAAAATAATGAAAATCAATGGACCTGTATCAATGACGATGCTTCGGTGGCAGGTGGCCAACAATCCGAACAACGAACATTGTGAATTGGCGATGCCAGCCGCCCTGCCAACGCACGATGTGTTTAGTTAAGTGGTAAATAGGAACAGCAAAAATATGGTTGCGTTCAACGTCTCCTTATCTCTAACTTCTCAAAGAACGACTAAAAAAAATAACACAATGGTGACAACGAACGAGACAAATCACATCAAACATGTTTTGTTTGTATTGAAAGAGTACCATTGCATTTCATTATTATTCTAAACTTAATGATAAGAAATTCCATTAAAATATTCCCATATATACACAAACATATTTTGTCTTAGTTTTCTTTTTGTGTTTTTGTTTTTTTTTCGGTATAGTAGAGTTTATGTTCATGTAGAATCCAAGAATAGTTTTTTTGTTTTAAATTATACATTTAATAATGAACCTCTATACATAGAACACCCAGATAAATACATTAATGTTTATATATTCTGAAATATTTAGGAGTTAACGTTCCTTGAGATATATGTCGAAAAAAATAGTTATGTATATGGCCAAGACTAACGAAAGAATTGTATAAGAAACCTTTATAAATAAATGAAAATAAAATCTATTAAATTTTATGAGGCTTTTAATTCATAAGGATGTGAAAATTTAGAGTCTTCGCATTCGTACTGATGGATTATAGGTATTTTGTCCTATACTCCATCTCATGATGGGAGTATAAAAAGTTCGGTCCTGAAATAATTCAGAACGTCTTTTGAGTTCTGTTCAAATCTGTATTTCGCTCACATAAAATGTATAACGGCTTAAACTAAAAATCTTTCCCTTTTGAATATTTTTTTGAGGTAGGTTGATCAAAGTTACTTCTCCCGAAAAAATTAGTGTCTTACAGAAATGTGATTATTGGTTATAGAAACTTTCATACATACTCTGAACATAATTTCAATAGTCAATAGCAATGGACATTATTGTGGAAATAACTTAACCATTAGTAGTAATGTTTACCTCCTGTTTTTGTTGGTATAGCTTACGGAAATTGTAATCGGGTTTTTGCGCGTTTTATATTCGCTAATGAGCTAGGCCATAATGTATTGATGGCATGTTCCTAATGTAAACATTTCAAATGGCGATTATAACTTTGGTGGAAAGGTCAGATGTCTTATTGGTTTTTCATGCACTTCCTTATTGAAAAAAATAAATATTAGAGCATGGAAATAAAATAAGTAGTGAAAAGAAAAGAGTGTGTTATGGGTGTGTTAAAATATTAAACCTTTTTATCCGATAAAACGTAAAAACATATTCTTAAAAAGTTTTAGGCATTTGGACCTTTTAATCTTGAAAACATATTGTTAAACCAGTAAGGAAAGTAGTAAAGTCGGACGGGGCCGACTATATGATACCCTTCACAACTTTGAGTATATTCTACATATGTATCCTAACAGACGACGCGTTTTTGTTATACATCTATATCTGAACCGATTTCAGGGAAACTTGCAGAGTCTAATTTATATTACAGCAGTACGTTGTGTCAATCAATTCGGACCTAAAAAATCTTAAAAATATATTCATAAAAATCTACGCCTTTAGATCTAAGAAATCTTCTGGTAATACATTTGCAAAAGCTTTAACAAAATTTTAATGAAAACTTTCCGACTGGGCTTAAAACGATTTTTAAACCAGTGAGCGGAGCAGTATAGTCGGACGGGGCCGACCATATGATACCCTACATAACTTCCACGAAAAACTAACTTTCTGTGGATCTATATTCTGAGCTTGGGCAATATTTCGCGATATTTAAACCATCTGGACCAACTAGAGGCCGACAATTATTACTAATGTTCAGTACAGCCCTTCTAATTACTTGTCCACATTCCCTTCCCTTGCGTTGTGATCTTCTTATTTCCATTGGAGCCTATAGATCGACTGGAAAAAAACACAAAAAATTAAGTTTGCGGTCCACATCATCGTCACCGACAATTGTAGGCGTTATCCTTGACCATAACTGGAACTTCATTCATTTTAAAGCGATCAGCGCTATTTAAGTGTAACTCCCACATCTGAGTACATACGACCATATAATTGGTATCAATTTAAAGGTCAACCACTGCCAACAACTTTTCGGGTCTATGTCCTTCAAGGGTAAATCTATACGCTATAGAATACAAATTTTGTATTTTTTCACACAAAAGTCAGGGTCCATTTGATTCGCTAAATATTGACCGATCGTTATCAAAACAGGCTTGCTTATTCTTTGGCCCGATTCCCTTCTCTATGTTTGTAACAGACAAATATAAACGAGATAGACACACTGTTCTTTTTGACAAAATGCATAGAATCACTTTCTGAGTCGATATATGCATGTCCGTCCGTCTGTCTGTCCATCGGTTCAGATTTAGATATACTTCCCATATATATTTTGGTCCGATTTTATGTAAATGGAGCACTAAAGTCGCTATATATCATACGATTTGCACGAAATTTGACATAGCGGAATGAATTAGGTCTAGAATGATATATCATACCCTTTACCCATTTGGTAAAGATGCATCCTAACAGACCTTTCATTTTTGAAGGACCATTGACATGAAAGTGGACTACTTTAAATGTATGATATGTGTCTATATGTGAACCGACTTAACCGAACGATTAATAACCGGATACATTTGTAAATGTATATTAAACTAGCGGGCCCGGCAAACGTTGTCTTGCATAGCATTATTGTTGATGTATAATTTACAAATATAATTCAAGATAGCCCAATATTAAGCTACACTCCACGATTTAAGATATTGCTCTGAAATTTACACATACATTGCTACTACTCCTGTGAATAAAAAACACCATCCCAGAAATTATGGACTATAGATTAACGTTTTAGAAATACGTCATAATTATTTCCCGTTCAATTTTCGGTATGTTGAAGTTCTTATTCCCGTTTTCCAACCTGAGATATACTTCTCAATTATTTGTGATAAAAATGATATATCCTTGAAAAAAAAAAATATCTCAATTATTTGTTGTATTCTCCTAAAAATGTTTTAATACAATGTCAATCCAATTGAAAAAAATATTTAGATAATAAAATAAATATTTAGAAAATTTTCAATAATTGACAAATGTAGGCTTAAAGGAATGATACGCTACCGATTTTCGCCAAAAAAAAAATAACAACTACGACGTGGTGCAATTCAAATAGCTCGATACTAAATTCGTGAAAATGTCAATATGTTGCAAAATACTTTTTGCAAAATTTTCACGGTTTTTGAATTTTTCTCACCTTTTAAACCTTTCCTGGAGCTCCACGAACTTTTCAACATTCAACATTGCCGGCCCGGCAAACGTTGTCTTGCATAGCAATATTGTTGATGTATAATTCACATAGCGATAGCCCAATATTAAATTATCTTTAAGATAGTGCTCTGAAATTTGCACATACATTGAAATTGCGCAGAAAGTGTCCGTACCAAGTATTATCAATATTGGTCCATGTTTCGGTGTACCGCCCATATTCGGTGAATAAAAAACATCATTCCAGGAATTTTGCACTACAACTTAACGTTAAAAAACTCCATAATTATTTTCAGTTCAATTTTCGGTATGTGGAATTTCTTACTCCCGTTTTCCAACATGGACGGAGCTTTTCGTATAACCTTCAAGTCGCTACGTCATCGCTAATTTTTATAAAATTGCTGGCTTTAGTTTGTTGTTCCCTTTCCAGTTGAGCTTAATGATAGATTTTTGCAAAGAAGATATCTCGTATATTACACTGTGATAAATATTTTTGGTGTCGGATATATGCGAGTGTTAAAAAGTGGCATAGCAAAATTTCAGGAACTGTAAGAAACAACATGTTCCTATTATTATTATTTTCAAACAAATTAATCAAGGGCATGGATCTTAGAATCAGAATACCCTGAATGGACACGAACTCGATTAAGAATCTCTTCTGATTTTCCATCCTTGCATTAGTCCCAAAATGTATGTACTTGCATTCTATGGACGACCTTAGTCAGGTCGTCTTCTCCTCGGCATCTTAACGTTATTAATTAATGACGTTAAGATGCCGAACAATAGTGTAACTATGACAGGGTCACTATCTCAAAGGATCACAAAAGTAAAGAAAGTTCTCGCGCACGTATCGGTAATCGAAAAAATTTTAAATTTATCAAACTTAAAAAAAAAAATTCTGACAAAAAAAGCAAATTGAATGTATGAATCTACATTTTATTTAGAAAACATTTGTATGGGAAATATAAAAGTCAGCTTTTTAGAGATTTCCCGACATTTATTCGATCTTTTCTCACCTTTTAAACCTTCCCTGAACCTCCACAAACATTTCAAGACTAAGATAACAAAAATCCGTTCAGCCGTTCTCGAGTTTTAGCGAGACTAACGAACAGCAATTCATTTATATATGTATGTATGTATATATGTATATACATATGTACATACATATATAGATTTCTTGTTTCGTTTATAATTCATCGAAATAATCACTTCCAAACCCATAAAATATCATATCATTTTTGATCAGCGTGAAATTCTATGACGATTTAAGCATGACCGTCTGTCTGTTGTCAAGCCCCTAAACGACAACATAGAGTTGTCGATTACAGGCTAGTCAAGTTCGAAGATGAGCTATATCGGCCCGCGCATAGGCATATAAGGGTACCCTCAACTTTGGGGTTTCGCTTAAATTTGGTGCAATGGGTTCTTATTGGGTATCAAAGGGGGTTCTTGAGCATGCTTTTCAACCGAATTCGGTGAAATTTGGTACAATGGATTCTTCTTTGGTACATTAATCGACACACATGTTCTCGGTAAGCTATTCATGATGCTACAACACAGAGTGCTGTTGAAGATATAATCTCCAGTTCATCCACAATCATCAGTTCATTATTTAGAGCACCCTTTAATTCTTTGGTGCACAATTTGCTAAAAATCGGACGAACATATGGGACCTATATCTAAATCTAAACCGATTGGAACACTTTTGGCTATCATAACTTCAATACGTCGTGCAAAATTTTGTGCCAATCGGACTAAATGTGACTCTTTGGTGC